AAATAGACCATTCTGGAAAATTCTTCAGTTGGGCATTTAGTGTCAGCTTTACACTCTTTTAAGTTGAAGAACCCTACTTATGATACTGCTTTACAATTCTTTCACTCTATCCTCCTCTCCTTTCAACATTACATCTTCATCTGATAGCATTATTCTTCATACCGAAGTGTCTTCGATAATTCTTCTTTTAAAAGCAACTGAGTCCTACTTAGCCGACCTTGTTGCGCACTCTGCTGCAGAATTGACCTCTACAATATTTTATTCTAAACACATACGCATAAGATAGAGCCGTAGAATTATAAAGATACCCTGCTTTCCTTTTTTTCTAAGGTGCCAAAGCTGAACTGTCATCCATTAAAAATGAATTCATCCTTGTGCAATGAGTCTTTTTTTGATGGAACGTCTGGGACAGAAATGAGAGTAATATATCTCCCAGTAAACTGTACCATGGTTGATTGGTTGTACTAACACATCTCTTATATCATCCATTAAATGCCTGGAAATATTCTAGTGTGTTGCTCATACATTCAACCTTCAATTAAAGTTTGGATTGGCCTGCACACTACTTTATGCCTATCTTATCTTTACATCATTTGGTTATGCTTGGTTGTTTCTGTTCATGTACATATAGAGAGTTAAAAAAGGTTATTTACTTAACAATTATATTTCATCATGTTATATCGGCCACTCTTATTTGATAGGAGCATCAAGAACTTGCTGAGAGAGTGATGGTACGCGGCTTCATCTTTATGCAAATGGGTCAAGGTAATGGAATTACAAAAGACAATTGATTTCCAAGACATTTAATAGTAAAGCTTTTAGGAATGAAAAAGTGATGTAAGTAAATTTATTAGTTTTACACATTTCTCCATTCATCATCATGCAGAAATGCAATCACGCTGAGATATACCAAGAAATCTCTGATGAGAACTTGGCGTTGATGAGGGAAAGGCTCATGGAGACTGTAATATGGCCCTCGGATGACACAAACACAGAAAAAATTGGCTGATAATAAGTCAGGACTTCTCATCTTACCTTTTGTTTTGCTTCCTTTCTATGTTTTAGCCTCTTCTAAGCTTAGGTATAATTTTTGCTTCGATATGAAGTCATGTTCCTTTCAATTGTGAGCTTTGCGTTCTGTAAATTGTGTATATATGTATATAACTTCATCTATGTATGATCCATGATTTAGGCAGTTTGATCCGAAGGATTATAAGTGGGCTATATGTTCCGTGTAAGCGTGAAGAGTGCTTCCCGCTTTTAAACAAACCTCTCGATAAGCCCTTATTCTATTGCATAAGAGGTTCTCGGCCTAAAAAATGTGAGAATGATGTTGAGACTTAATTTACAGTGCACCAATGCACTTTTATCTTAATAGATTGTGCCCACAAACTAGATGGAAAAACCAGCGGAAGCGTCAAAAAAGGAGAGGGAAAGAAAATAATAATGGAAGGAATTAATTCTAAAACCATAGTTAACAGGAAGAAATTTTCTCAGAATTCTTTTTTTTTCCCTTTTCTTCTCAAAACTTCATTTCCACTGTTAGATCAAATAATAAATGGTTTAGATTCGTATTTTGTGAAACTATTATTATAATTACATAAATAAGAAAGAGAAGGGGTATCCAGTTTTTAAAATATTAAATCTGAATTATCTATTTCTCAATTCAATTGTAAAGGAAGAAAAGAGAAAGGAACTTATCAGCAGATATACTCACAACAAGGACGAATAACTGATTCTCAAAGATCAAAAGATGCAGTTAAAGTTAGTAGGTTTAATCAAATATGTTAAGAACAACACATTTCTTTGTAAAAATATTCTCATATAAAATTGGCGGGTGGCTTTCAAGAATTGGTTTCATTAATAAACACTCTTTTTAAACGCGGGTACAAAAGAAAACTTCTTGTTTATCATAAATAAGACCAAGAAACTCTAAAAAAAAAAAAAAATCTTTTTTAAGGACCAGAAGGAGTTTATGTCACGGGTAATACTAGCAGAAGATTTCCCCCTTTCAGAATGACATGTGAAGGGTAGCTGTTTCTTCTCTATTCAGTGTAATTATGTCTATCATTAGATTTAAAGCATCATGGTTATGAAGGACAAACATTAAGAGGTTTTCGGCCTAATAGCTAGAAAGATCATCCGCAAGGAACAATTATGTGAACCAACCAAATAACTATTCATGTATTCTATTTAGCGGAGTTTATCTTTCACATGCCAGTTTACTTTGTTCTTTCACTTCATTGCCCACCTGGCAGCAGATATACATCTACTACACACACGTACTTTGTGGCATGAATTAATAAATTTTGACCGTGAAAACTTCAAACCATACCACAAACTCACTTGAAGTTGCATTCTTTGAATGTACCAAATTTCTCCTTCAGCTGGGCTTTCTTAGAAATTGCTCCAATCTTCCAAAACCATGAGGGGAATTAAGAAAGAGTCGTTTTGTTATACCTAACCCATAAGGTGATCTTATCTCACAATGTATAGTCATGCTAATTAGGTTTTTGATATAATCTTGTCTTAGTTGTGAACACGATTATTTCTTAATTATGAAGAGATTTAAAAACTTGGCCTGATGTAGAAACGTAAATTATGTTAACAGTTAAAACTAAGATGCTTTATTATGTAAATGTTAACGCTCAGGATTTACGTTATAAAGTTGTAAATAAAATATAGGGACGCACAGTCACATGTATTCCAGCCTTGTTCAAAACTTGAGAAAAACCTTGATAGAACTACTACAATATCAAGTTAGTTAAAATCATGGAGCGCTCTATCATATTAGACCATGAACGATTTCAGGTGCCAAACTTTTCACTGAATAACATTGTCATTGTAGTTCTGACTTTTACTGGAACTAGAGCTAAATTGATGGCAATAAACTTGAGTCACACCTATATCGGTATTAAGAAATTTTCAAGGATTAAATTCATAGAGAAGGTATCTTTCAAAGACTACTAAATAGTTTCATTAAATCTTCCAAACAGGCGGATTGCTTCAGTTTCTACCAAAAAATCAGGACAAGTATGGGGGAAGCACTGCAAATTATGAAAATGGTGGATTGAACTAAAATACGCAGGAAGAGCCTGACTAACAATCAAAATAAAATCGAAAGCTTCTAGCAAAGCCAGAACGTAGGATATATCAAAATGCCCGCTAAAGCTACCAGAAGAAAACCCCCAACATTTCCTTCCGGCTTTGGTATAATTTGAATTTCAAAAGAGGACCGCCTAAGGGCAAAGACTTTATCTAAAGCCTCTTGCCAACTACATTTGACTGAAAACCCGAAATACATTGAGTTCATGACTCATTTTAGATGGCATTTTTCAATGATATTTAATTATTTATGAGCAATCACAACTTCGTAAATAAGCTGCAAGAAGCATCCTTGAAGCATATAGAGTGGCAAAAAGTAGTTGAGACATGTATGAGCGGAGATCGAGAAATTCATGAACCAGAAAAGGAACTGGGGCAAGAATGAATCTCAGAAAGATAGAAGCACCCTCAATTGCTATCCCTTGACATTGCTTAATCAGAATTCCACTATTTATCAGAGAGACAGAAACTAAGTTTTCCATATACCACTAATATGGTACAACACTAAAGCCAGTAACCCTATCTTGATCATCTGACTCAAAAGAAGTAATGCCAAATGCACTGAATAATGAAATGAGATATTGAGGGTAACCTGATCAGGAGTGCTTACAAAATTGAAAAGCTCTCGCACTGCTCTGACTGGCTAAAAATAGTACATAAAGTGATCACCTGCAACAGGAAACATAGAAAGCACACAGCAATTTGACTCATTAAACGGTAGTAAGATATAATAAACAAAACAGAACATACAATTGAAATGTTAGGCATCATCCCAGCATACAAAGCTATTAATCCAAGACAAAACGAATACTTGAAACTGAACAAATAAGCAAATGATCTCAATCAGATTTTCAAAAGGATTTCACCAGCTCATCATTTTCAATTTGCTGGTTTCTCAGTATTGAACTACAAACAACCTAACACCAGAGTTTGTTCTATATATTTACCATTGAAAGACAGAAGTTTCATAACCCATGTATAAATCCTCATGAAAGGAGACTAACCAGAAACGAACTTCTATGATGGCATGTAAATAATTCATTAAAGGACAATAAAAACATACCACATTGTAAGCTGAAGCACGAAGGCCGAATACCTTACATAGGTGAGAATACAAGGGGGGAAAAAATAAAAAAAGTTGCTATCACTTTTTCTCTTCTTCGCATGCATATCCGGGCTTAGAAAGAAGGACACTTGAATAAATTCAGCTTTCACCAATAGGAATCTGGTCAAGTGCCATTCTTGCTCGAAGCTGCATCAGAAGAATAAAATGGGTAAAACCATTTAAAAAAATAGTATCAGACAAAGTCATTTTGTGATGAAATTTAAAAGACCTTCACATCCATGCATGGATCATTGACCATCTTCTTTATTCGAGAAACTATGCCAAAATTACGCAGTTTTACAACCCGGCCAAATGCACCAGGACTTGTTGGATTGGTGAGATTTACTATGACCCAAACAGCTGCCGTGGATAACCGACTGTCATTACTCTGCAAACACTGGTTGAAGAATGAGTCAGATCCATCCTCTGCCTCAGGAAATAGTTGGTGCATAACAGCTTCCTTGTGAAATTCATTTCCACTGGCAATATTGCAGAGTACATATATACCCTACACGGAAAATAAAACCAGGGACATAATTAGTAGATTGATGAAGAAAATAATAAATACCTACTCTTTTCCTTACACTTTGATTGTATCTTTTGTTGTCTACATACCAAGACTCCAACAAAATAAGGTGTCCACATCCTTCCCCCGGGGGGGGGGGGGGGATTTTGGCTGCCTTCTATCTATTCCTTCCAGCTTTCCTAGAGTATTCTTATTAGGCAGCCTAAGATAATGGAGGGCTTTGATGATGTTGAGTTTGTATTTTATGCATGTCACCATATGTATAACATGATTTCGTTTTCAAAAACACTGCTTTAAAATAGAGTAAAATATAATGACTTCCCTTAAGTTTGCTTAAATTATGGAGGCCATTCCTCTATTTTCAAAATCTATAGTTTACTCCAGTTTTAATACTGTTAAGAATACTCTGTCAAAGATGATGGCCAAATGTTAGAATTTTTTCCCACAAGTTAAACTATTTCATACTAAGATTAGTAAGCATCATATTTTAGCATTTTAATACTGACATTCAACAGAAAAAAGAAAGCATGCCAAAGTATGTTGATAATTTTCTGCTCGCAAGGCCCGAAGAAACACAGAATAACAAGGGAAGGAAAAAATCTCAATATCAACAAAATGCAGCAGTAATATCTTAAAAAACTTTTAAAGTTTGATGCCAGATGATGGTAGTCTCCAAGATTCAGCATACCAACCAAATTAAAGTTAGCAATCAGTTCAGAGGCACATACGGTACAAGTTATTAGAACATTTCTACAGTTTACCTAGTAAGGTATTAACAATTAAGAATGGCTCACAGAATTCATATCAGAAGTAACAAGGTACAGCTCCCTGATAGCAGCAGAGCATGACAATCTACATAATCAATTATCAACCTATGAAACAAAAATTGGATTCAAAAGTGATTCCTAACCTGTATCCTGATTTCAGCTTTTGAAGATTCTCGAAGTCGCCTTACAACAGCATCAAATATGATACCATCTTCAGCAAAAGCATATTCAACAAAGTCTATGAGCCCATCAACGAAATTGCGAACAAGGGCTAGAGTTTGTTCTTGAACAGAAGACTCAGGATCTGCAGAGTGCACACAGTCAAGGACAAACTTCCTCGTGGCCAGTGATAAAAAGGACATATTTATTGGTAGATACCAATTAACACCCCCCCCCCAAAAAAAAAAAACAACTGAACTTTCAATGGGAATCTTACCATGGATAAGGTTAGCAATTGAAGATGCTGTCAACTCCATAAAGACTGCTTCTGTACATGTCTTCTCCGCATGAAATACCATGTTCCTCAATGCCCATACAGCATTCAACCTTAACGATGAATCCATAGATTTTGTCGATTGGACAAGCCCTTTAATGCCTCCACATTGTATGAATACTGACTTGCGAGGGGTAATGCCAGCCACTATGTTGCTGAGGGCACCAAGGGCTGCAACCTGGAAAACAACATAGCGAAAGGTGTGTTCAACTAGATCTCAATAAGCTCATAGACAATATCTGTTTCATTATGGCAAATAACAACAACTTTTTTTTTGGGGGGGGGGGTTAACTTTGGTGGAAAAACTTTAACTACTGTTGGAAACAATTTTCCTAGACACTGGTGGTAAGCTTTTAGTGATAGTAAACAATTAAAATAACGCTAATGGCCCTTACAGACATCATTTAATGCATGACATATTGTAATTCTCAATTAGTTTGAGTTTAGCGGACAATTTGATTACGTTACTTGTAGAACATCTTCTTTTATGTACTTCCAATACAAAAATTTCATAACTTTTTAGACATTAAAGACGTTAAGAGTCAATCTCGGGCATTCAGAATATCCGTTAGTTTTCAGTATGATTGACACCTTTTTTTTACACCTTTCGGTGCGTGAAATCAACAACTCCTCATTGTAAGTCAAAGGACAATATAGATACAATAAGCACACGTACCTGGACAGAAATAGACAAATCAGATAGAAGTTGAACCAAAGGAATCACAATGCTTTCATTCATAAAATGTCCTGCACTCAAATTCTGAATCACATTTTATACGTGTTAATTACACATAAGATTTGAAAAATTCAAGCAGAATAACCGTTTCAGCTTGTATACCTTGATTGAGCGAGAGCTGTTTCTTAAGCAAATGCATGCTGCTTTGCGTACATCGGCATTATCATGAACTAGGGCATCAACAACTAAGCTCAACACCTGTGTATTCACAAACGTTAGAAGCTGATAACTTTGCAGAATTAAAAGTATAGCTACTCTAGGTCAGAAGCATCATTAGTTATCACATTTACAAGTTGCCATTATGAATTGAAAAACAAAAAAGTTGACTTCAGTTATCTACCAGAAGAAAAATATTTCGGCACTGGTTCAACATGTTGAAAATATGGATGATAGGAAACAGTCTTAACAAAAATCGATGAACTTATTCATGAAAACAGACGATACAAAGTATTGGTGGTAGTAAAAGTTGTTTCTGAAGAAATACTTTTATAGGTCAAACTATTCAGAAATAATAAACTTCACATTGAAGCAAGAGATAAACAATCTGCACAAGCGTTGATAGCAAAAAACTAGCATATAAGCCTGTTGGCACTCAAAAACCTACTTATTCTAGCTTTAAAATTCAATATAAATGCACCAAAAAGAAATATAAATTTTGGACAATATTACGCAGTCACGATAACTGATTTTCTATTCAATCTAAACCCAACAATAATCCTAAGAGGAATTCTAAACTCCTTAGCTAAGTGACTTAGTCAAACTGCAGCTGTATGCAATCCAGGGACACACACACACACACTCTAGAATGCATACAAACATAACGATGACCAGACAGAGACCAAGAGATATGCTTGGCACATAAAAATAGATTATGTTCACTTTCCAATATGGCAAGATGGAACAAGAAAAGGAGAAGACAAAAGGGGCAAGAAGACTACAAAAATAACATTCTGAAAACAAAGCTACTTGCAAATCTGTTTGTTTATGGACTCTCCATTCAATTTCGTTCCCAAAATATATTGTGTCATCTCCAATCAGCAGTCATGTATCTCCTGTTACCTTAGACCCTCAACTACACACGTGTGGCCTCTCATAAGATGCATAAAAATTATGAGAAATCAAGACTCATGCTGAAACATCAAGATCCGCTGTAGAGATGACTGGCTAGAGTTTTAATGAGTAATTTCCACCATGTGGTCACATCCAGCAAATATATGAGACCTAGGATTATTTTGATAAATAGTCTCCAGGGAACAACAGACCTGCAATGTAAGAAACCTAGACCGGCAGCACTCCAACTTTGAGCAAAGATCACCCAAGGCAAGAAATATCCCTTCAAGGCGTCTGGGATTTGAGGAAGATTTTTGCAAGTGGCAGTAGAACTTATCAATAGCATTTGCCTCAAATGCTAGCTTATGTAAATCTTCCTTTTCTGCAATTAAACTAGAGAAAGCTAAGGAAGCTTCATCTCCAACTTGACCAGGATCATCAAGAAGCTCAAGCAAAATATACACCAATTTAGTCTTAATTCCTAAGTCTTGCAGATGGCAAGAAGAAGAATTCTTAACACAAATCAAGCACAAGCAGGCAAGTAACCTTGTCCGAGAATATCTATCCTTGGTCAACTCAATAATGGAGTTTAGAGCTCGTCCACCATGATGGGCCATAAATTTAGAGACAGCTTCAGGATTGTTTTTAAGAATTGTAGCTAGGGACTCTAAACAAGCATCTCGCTGACTTAGAGAACCATCAAGAAGGCCAATAATTTTCTCCAAAACACCAGCATAGCACAAAATATTTTGCTCTTCGCTTGTCTCACAAGAATGAATAACAATGCTTGCACCTAGCACTGTGAGATTTTCGTTCTCATTTTTCAATAGGGAAAGAAGAAATTCCCTGTTTTTCTCTAGAAAAAAATCACATTTTGGAGCTAGTTTCGATTGATAAATCATTCGTAGAGAACGTGCAGTGGCATCTACAACCTGGAACAAAGAGGAAAATGGCTATCATATCACATTCAGAAACAATATGCAGTTAAAACAGGAATAGAGAGGGTGCACATAGTTGACAGTAATATACTATCAAGGATCAAGGCAGATGTATCTTGTTTTCACCTACGAACCTCTTTAAAGGAGGAAAATGATAAACTCATTTTCTTCCTCAGTCTGCTTGTCCTAGAACCAAAAAGTAATAATAGAAATTTATAACTGATGAAGCTCAGTGGATGAAAATTAGCATGATTACATTCAGCTATAATTTATGCATCATGTATAGTTTACAGACAGCACTGAACACATAAAATGTATGATACACTGTCGGCAACAAGTTGAAATATGCAATATTGCCTGCAAAAGTCACAAACTAGGAAGATAATGCCAGAAATATGAAATAGCATCAGAAGCTAAAATGCATTAGAAGCACTAGTTCATAACGATCCTATTTGGCCAGTATAGTACTAGCTAATTGACAATAATATCACTGACTTTTTAAATTTTATGAAGTATTTGTGGCTAGAAGGCATGTGAATTCCACAAGAATTAGACCCATCAATTCCCAAGCTAAGGATGAGCTTAGCAGGGATTAAAACCAAATGAAGTAGAGACTAAAGCAATACAATTTATATCACCAAAAAAAAGAAAAAAGTAATACAATTTAGTAATATTTGCTATAGGGAAAGGAAGAGGGAGGAGAGCAAGCGGACAGGTCAGAGCTTCCACTATCCTAAAATGATATGTTACTCAGTCCCCACACAAGACATAATTGATTAAAAAACAGTGAAAATTAGAATGAACTTGCATTGTCAAAGGCACACATGCTCTGCGGCCTCAAATAAATGAAGCAAAGACCTACTAGTTGAAATATAATTTTGAATTTAAAATGTTACACATAAGGGCAAAATATAAATTATGGATGAAGAACAACTGATTCCCATTTGATTTATTATCCAAATAAGCTCCAAATAAAAATTGCAGCTCTCAACCCTTTAAATTTCTGCCTCCTCTATACTTTTTCCTCTTCGGTGATGCCTCTACATGGATTTCCCTAGTTTCCAGCTTGTTATAAAGCAAGGAATATAAGGTTTTTTCCCCCTGTTTCACAATTAAGTGGTACAGATAAGTGTTCCTACCATGTACTTGAAAGAATATATTGAAAGGCATTCATCTTAGAAGCACAAAGCAATCATCAATTGAAAGACTTGATTCCTGTGAAGACCAGTTCACATTACAATTAATTAAATTGAGAAGAACGATGCAAGCGGTAACAATAAAGAATTTTATTACGAACAAGACTTCCTATATCAGCAAGAACTGAATGGGAAAATTGTTTATTATTAAAACCATAAGTATATCCGAAGAGGTGATTCCATATGCATTTAGCAACGACCGTAACACAGACCCACCGAACAAGTAAGATGAAAACTTCGATTTGAAACGAAACAAAAACGCAGGTGGATTTCATTTCTAAGGTCGTACAGAGGACACTCAAGCAATACAAACTCTTTCGAACAAAGGACACTCAACAGACTGCGGATCAAATAATCCACATTTCATAATATAATTTTAACGAATTTCTCTGATCGCAAACTAGTGATCAACCAACCTGTTCAGAGCATCACACTTATATTTAAGCACCAACCTCTAACAAACGAGACCATTAAAGGACGGTTACAATTAATTGAGTTCACCTTCTCGTCGGCAGCAGAGAGGAGATTGAATAAACGAGGTAGAACGCCGGTGTCAAGCACAGCACGTACGCCAGCGTCAACGCCACAGGCAAAGCTGCCGAGCACCGCCGCGGACTGGACAATGAGGTTGGCGCCAGAATCGGAATTGGCGTCAGCTTCGGCAAGAACAGAAGCGACAACGGGGACTGTACCGAGCTTGATGTAGGAGAGCTTCTTGGTTCGGTTGCCGATGATCTTGTTCTTTACCTCTCTGATAGATTTGAGCTTGATTTCGCAATCACTGGACGCGAGGCGGTCGAGGATGGGATCGGATGTGGTGGAGGAAAGGGGTGGTGTGGTGATGGAGGATGCTGAAGTGGTGGGCATGGTTGCGGTTGTCACCGGAGTCTTTGTCGCCTGTAGCGGTGGTGGAAACTCATGCAAACCGGAGAAGAAGAAGCGAGCTCCACATCCACAACCACGATGCCGGAGAGAGAGAATGGTTTTTTCTATTTTTTGGCTTGTTTGTTTGTTTGTTTGTTTTATTTAAGAAAATTAATCTTAGCTTAGTGGGGCTCTTATGCAACATTGAAATGTACGGTTATTATCAGAAGGGGCAAAAGGCAAATGCCTGGTTATGCGCATCCAATAATACCCAATGTAAGAAACCCACATGTCTATGACTTAAGTAAGCAAAATTTTAATAAATTGTATCACAATTTAAGTTTATAATTTTCTGTCATCCTGAGTTTTTTACATTTAATTTTGTTTATTCTAGATTCATGCTCTTTTTTCTGGACAGAGATATTTATTTTGAATTCAAAAGCCAAAAGCAAGTATGGGGAATGTACAATGTATTAAACCTCAGACCAAAAAAGGGGGCAAAAAAAAAAAAGCTGTGCTAGTGTGTTAGACCTTGTTTGGAAAGTAATAAAATAATAGCTGGAAAAAAGGGAAAGTAGAGTAATAAAATAATGTGTTAACACATAAGAAAACTACAAAATTAATAGCTAAAAGAGACAAACAAGAAAATAGAAAAAGCAAAAAAAGTTTATTAACCCTTCAATTAGGTTTTTATCGTTTAATTTCTTTTTTAATGAATTGCCCCTATCATTTCAAAGGACCATAAGAGGTCCCCATTTTACTCCGGACAGTCTCATTGTATTACTTCTGGTAATCAATTATTCTTTTTTTTTGGGGGGGGGGGGGGTAATCATGTACGGTCAATTATTCTTGTTCTTGACTGTTGAGGATCTTCATTGATCCCATCAATTGTGTGATGAAGAAAGCAGTGCTGTGTAAAATGGGATGAAGATGAAGTAGCAATCTGGATTGCTGACGTGGCAAGTGCTGGTCAGGATCGTGTGTTCACGAGTAGCCAAGTCAGATGCTTCTTGCCACGTATGTTTACACGTCAGCCAGAGATGCGAAGAGATTCATTCGCCCTTTATCTTTTTATCCGGAAGCCTCTGAGCTCCCTGCGGTCCATTCGTGAGATAAAATTTGCCAAACAAATGGTTTGTAACTAGTAAAGCTCATTAATTATTTAAAAAAAAAAACTAGTAAAGCTCATCCACACTTTATACCTGACATGCACGATATTGATTTTATTTTTTTGGGGCCAGAGCACGATATTGATATTAATGATACAGATATTGATGATAATGTCATTGATATTAATATTAACCAGACTCGTTTCTTTATATATTGTATGAGGTGAAAAAAAATAGGAAAAATGACAATAAAATACCACTTGAATTCCAAAAAGACAAATAAGGCACCTGAATAAGCAAAATGACAAAGAAGGCATCAGGTATCAATCTGGAATTTTGATTTTTGACTTAAAGACTGAATTGCCCTTATTGTGTTTGAAAAATGAGGAGATAGGGAAAGGTAGAAATCGCCTCCTCCCAGGAAAAGCAATTCCCCCCACTCGACGAAAGAGAAACTGCCCCCACTTGGCGAAACCAATCCATCTACTCGGTGAAACTAATCCCTCCCCTCAGTGAAAACCGAATCCCTCTACGCGATGAAACCAATCCCTCCACTCATGAAACCGAACCCCCTCCAGTTGACGAAACTAAATCCTTCACATCACCATTCTGTAGAGATTGTTGATTTGGTGGGTTTTGGTTGTGGGAAAGAGGATTTGTAGTGAGAGAGGGAGTGAACCGAAGCGGAAATCAGAAAACAATGGCAAGCAATTACATAACGTAACTGCTGTCATATGCCTGCTGGTTTTTGGTAAATCCCATTACGTGAATGGTAAATTTCACTATACATGTAGTTAATTATGAATTTTACAAAATACATATTGTGATTTACAACTTTTGTGGTGAAAGTGAGTACTTTATTAATCAGTTTTGCAACCTGTTTTCAGGAGATAAACAACTTGTTTGTAAAAACTAATAAAATTTCACGTTAAATTTGACAAAGCGTATAGTGGGATTTACAACTTCCGTAGTAAAAATGACCACTTATTGAATGGGTTTTGTAACTTGTTTTCAAGGGATGGGCAGCTTGTTTCTAAAAACTAATAAAATTTCCTACTAAATTTAACAAAACACATAGTGAGATTTACAACTTTCGTAGTGAAAATGATTATTTCTTCAATGGGTTTTGTAACATGTTTTCAAGGGATTGGCAACTTGTTTCTAAAAACCAATAAAATTTCATGTTGAATTTTACAAAACATAGATTGATATTTACAACCTTTGTAGTGAAAATTATCACTTCATAAATGAGTTTTGCAACCTCTTTTCAAGGGATTGGCAACTTGTTTCTAAAAACCAATAAAATTCCATGCTGAATTTTACAAAACATAGAGTGATATTTACAACTTTTGTAGTGAAAATTACCACTTCTTAAATGAGTTTTGCAATCTCTTTTCAGGGGATGAGCAATTTGTTTCTAAAAATCAATAAAATTTGGCGCTGAATTTTACAAAACATACAGTGATATTTACAACTTTTATAGTGAAAATGACCACTTCTTAAATGGCTTTTGCAACCAGTTAATTCAACGTGACTACAAAAGTTGTCACTTTTATTAGTTTTTACAAACAAGTTGTTTATCTCCTGAAAACAGGTTGCAAAACCCATTAACAAAGTAGTCACTTTCACTACAAAAGTTGTAAATCACAATATGTATTTTGTAAAATTCATAACTAACTACATGTATAGTGAAATTTACCATTCACGTAATGGGATTTACCGAAAACCAGCAGGCATATGACAGCAGTTACGTTACGTAATTGCTTGCCAGTTTTCTGACTTCCGCTTCATCTTTCCGCTTCGGTTCACTCCCTCTCTCACTACAAATCCTCTTTCCCACAACCAAAATCAACAATCTCTACAGAATGGTGATGCGAAGGAGTAAGATAATAGCATTTCCAACATTCTTCTTTCCTTCTTCCCGCATTTCATCAGCATCGGTATTCCTCTCTCCTTTCTCTCACTGCGTCGGTCTTCCTCTCTCCTTTCTCTCACTTTCAACGTCGGTCTTCCAGCATTTCATCAAGGCATTTTGGTCTTTTGGCCGAAAATATGAATTCCAGATTGGTACCCAGTGCCCTATTTGTCATTTTGCTTATTCAGGTGCCTTATTTGTCTTTTTGGAATCCAAGTGGTATTTTATTGTCATTTTCCCAAAAAAATATTGTCAACTTCATATAAATTTTATTATAATCTTTTATGTATTGATATTGATTATTACTACCTCCAGTCCTTAATATAAGACCCTATTTGACTTTTATTTTGGTCCTAAATATAAGACCCAAATCCACTTTGTCTCTCATCTTTATATATTTTTTTCCAAAGTAGCTCTTCTAACAATGATAGTTCTAGTCAATACACTTGATTAGTAATGATATTTTAGGAAAGACAACACCTATTTAAGACAAATAACTAACTCAACTTACTTCCTTAATCTCCTTAAATTAGTCAACTGGCTCTTATAATTAGGACCGGAGGTAGTATTTTTTTTTATTTTGACCGGTCTAAATATGTTCCGAGATAGTCCCATGCATGGTATTGGTTAAAAAATCTATGTGGCAGAGTCACAACTGAGAACAGTCATATTAGTTTTAAAAATGAGATATATTATTCATAACATAAACAAAACATAATATAAATTCTTGTAGAATTTATTATAGAATTATTAACATATTAATATATTGATACTACCTCCGGTCCTAATTATAAAAGCTAATTGACTAATTTGAAGAAATTAAAAAAATAAGTTAAGTTAGTTATTTGTAATAAATATGTTTTGTTTATTTGTAATAAATAAATATTGTCTTTCCTAAAATATCCTTACTCATCAAATGTGTTAGTTAAAATTACTATTATTAGAAAAATTATCTTAAAAAAAATATACAAATATTAAAAACAAAACATATTATGATCTTATATTCAAGATCAAAATAAAAATTAAACCTTGGTACTAATTAAAAAAATAAGTCTCAAGACCGGAGACAGAGTCATGCGTCCCATCGGTTTGAAAAAAATTGCGGGCGATTAGCTGGCAGCAATGGTTGACAAAAGAAAAGATTGACGTCAACAAATTTTGAACCATCAGTAAATAGTAATGCAAAAATTAGAGAAAATAGTAATTTTTTAAGAGATTCATAGAAATAATAAAACTTAGGAAAAAAAATTGCATACTTCAATTTATAAGCACAGCATGATTCTATTAAAAAGGACATCAATAATTAGAAGTCATAGAATTAGTACAACTTCAAGAGCAATGAAAGTAAAGCAGGGGAAGAAGAGCAATTCTCAACATGAACAATTAATCTGTCCTCCTTGGATGACTAATGCAAACGAGCTTGGTGGAGCCAGCATGATGCAGCAGACAAACGACCAACTAGAGGAAAGTTTAGGAAACCATGTCATTGCCATCATCTTCATCACCTTCTCCAGTTTCATTGAACATGTACTGGCTCTGATACTCCATCAAGTACTGTGTTGATCTTTTGACATCCAAGAACAGATGGTAAACCCTATTTATATCCTCCAAATCAACTACCTTCCCTTTCGCTTTTGGCATGCTAATGCAGCTCCTGTAATGAGATGGATAGCATATCTCAAGGATGTTTCAACGCCTATTTTGGTTAACAATTGCTTTGCACCCTCTGACATTTCCACTTCTTCCTCTTGGGTTCTAATATCGAGAATCTTGCGAATTTCATCCTCGGTATAAGGTTGAGTGGAGATTATGAGTAGGCGATCGAGTAGATCAATTGGAATACCATGTGGGGATTTGTAATTGTGCCTCTGATGGTTGTGATGCCTCTGTTGGTAGCAACAACTAATATGGGAGCCATCTCGTTCTCAAGAGCCCGGTTGAGGAAGGAAAAGCACTCAATGTCAAGCATGTGCACCTCATCGATGAAAAGAACACCCGGCACAATTTCTGCCTTCCCTTCTTCTCTCCACTCTGCAACTTTTGTGTCAATTTGTTCTCTTACTTCTGCACGAATTTCGCCTGTATCACCAGTGAAGAGAGCCAGAAA